GTCTGTATTCTATAACATTGTATACAATAATTATTGTATAGCTATCAATGCCTGGCTTTCTTTCATTGATTTGTTTTTTATTATTGTTTTCTATTATTCGCAACGTATTCTCAAACTTTTTTATCTTGATGAGTTACAAACAGTTTATTAGGATAATGCAACAGTATTTGCAGGAGTGAAGCTGCCAAAAATATTCTGATTTTTCTTCTATGTCCGAGACCGATGCCTTTAAAGTTACGAAGCGATTAAGATAACGTACACATATATAAACGGAGACTAACAAAAATAGTTCGTCTTACATTTACACCAGCTACATACCAAAACTTTCGAGTATTCTTCTTCATTTCGTCTTCTTCTAGATTTGTAGAATGTATTGTACTCTAAATAGCTTTAATCATCTGTATATCACAACTGTGTTTTTCACGCACAACTTTCTCCCACGATATTCATCTCGCGCATAAACAATAAGTTCGCTTAAAAATGGCGAAAAAAATTAATACAAGTCTTTGTCCAGACATAAATTAATCATGCATTTAAAATGGTTAGATAACAAATTAATATATATATATATTTTTTTTTCATTTGGGGTTATCACGTTAATGATTCCTTGTAGGCTTGTATAATGTTAATGTAGCTATATTGTATATGTATATGTCAAAGATATTATTATGGTATAGGTATAATCCCGATATAACAAGCCAAAGTGACAACATTATCTCGAAATGAGAATAATTTGCGATTTAAAAAAAAAAGAAGCATTCGCACATATGTATACTAAATATATATATATATATATATATATATTTTTTTTTATTTCCAAATCGCAAGAAAAGATAGCATATTCTCAATTTCGAAGTATATCTTGAAAAACATAAATAAAGAAAAAAATAACAATTAGTTTCATTCATGCATCAATAATCGTCTATCTTATAACCCTTTAAAATGATACGAGATAAAAATACAAAAATTCAGATGTATTATAGTATTAATAAGATTGACTTTGTAACATCGTTGTAAGTTCTGTTCATTCTTTTCTACATATTTCGCGCAGAAACAGACTATAACAAATTAATTCGGTGGTCGAAAAATATAACTTTAATAATCCCTAATTATACAATTACTTAATTACATTGCTAATCCCGATTATATAGTATTATTGCATATTCATAACGATGAGAGTCGTTGATATTAATTGTTAGGAAAATATTATTAATTATGCTGTGATTTTTTTCGCAATTAGTTTACTGGAAGTATGCTGTGTGCGGTCTTCTTGTCATCAGTTCTTACAATCCTCTAGTAATTTATTTTTATAAATAACATACACCTTTCATAAATAACAGTACTTATTAACATACAGTACAGCATCTTTGCATTATTATTAACACACTCATACTTATATATTTTGCGTACAGAGTAAGATAAGATAATTTGAAAATATTTTGAATTAACTTTTCTAAACTTACATATAAATATGAAAAAAGTATAAAATTCTACTATGATGATAACATATAACAATATTTGTGGTAAATATTAAGAATAATGCAGCTCCGATAACCTTGACCTTGACATATGTTGTCAAGGTCACGACCCTAAGTAACCTTCAACAGATTTTAGCCGTCGCTCGTCCTTCGTTAAAAAGTTATTAACAAAAAAAGTTTGAAAAAATAATGTTTTATTTCTGCTAAATATAATATTGAAAAATATCAAATATTCCATCAAACTGTCCAAATTATACGTTAGATGCAAAAATTCATGAAGATGCATAATACAATCAATATATACTATCAGTTGTATAAATATATTCAGAATGAGAAGTAGCAACTATATGCTTTCTGTTTGAAGCTCCTAAAGCAGGAAAGAGGAGGGATGAGAGTTGAAGGTGAGAGTCGTGCGCTCCTGAAGCAGGGGGGAGGAGGGGTGAGAGTCGGAGGTGAGAGTTGTGTGCTTTTAAAGCAGGGGGCAGGAGGGGTGAGAATCGGAGATGAGATTCGTGCGCCCCTGAAGGTTAACTTTGTAGAAACAGTGAGTCACTGCTTTAAAAACACAAATTTACTACTTTACAAACAAATTCACTACTTTACAAACAAATTTGCTATTTTTCAAACAAATTCACCTCTGACTCTCACCCTTCCTCCCCTCCTGCTTCAGGAGCGCACGATTCTCATCTTCGACTCTCACCCCTCCTCCCCTTTGCTTTAGGAATGCACGACTCTCACCTCTGACTCTCACCCCTCCTCCTTCTCTGCTTCAGGAGCGTACGACTCTCACTTCCGACCTTCACCCCTTCTCCCCCCTACTTTTTGTATCCGTTAGAATCGTTAGAATTGTTAGATAATTCTACATAAATATTCAGTGTCCATTGACCATTATTGACATTTATTGATATTTTTCAATATTATATTTAGCAGAAATAAAATTATTTTTTTAAAATAACTTTTTTTGTTAATAACTTTTTAACGAAGGACGAGCGACGGCTAAAATCTGTTGGAGGTTACTCAGGGTCGTGACCTTGACAACATATCTCAAGGTCAAGGTTATCGGATTATACTTCCGTTATTCTTAATATTTATCGTATTTTTTATTAACGCAATATCTCTATGAAATAAAAGCATTTATTTAATTTCTATTCTTTTAATTTTGTAGATTATTGTATAAAAATAAAATTCTAAAAAATTTATACATATATTCTTGACAATATATAAAACTTTTAAAGAAATATATTTCGTATTTTTACAAAATATATTTTTTACTAAATACATGAAGATTTTATAAATAATTAAAACATACAATAAATAATAAATATTTAAAATGTGTTATTCTAATCTTATAATAATTTTATAAAACTTTATTAACATGCAGAATTCAATAGCTAAACGATTAAAGAATTATTAATTATCAAATTTTCTCCAATTTATCTCATTTTACTCTATACAAACATGTATTATACACAAGAATATTTTACTAAAGAGCTCAAGTTTATAAATACACCAGATGCCGAAAAATTTTAGAGGTAACATGTCGATAATAACAAAGTTATTGATTTGTTTTATGTACATATCATATGCCTAATGATAGTAGTCGAACCTCCATTACTCGATATCTTACTTTATTCATATAAATTGATATTATAAGAAAAATATAATATATGCAACAAGTCATTATTGCCGGTTAAATATACAAGAAAAAACATCATCTAGAGAAAAGATAAGATAAAATTTATAAAAAAATTTTATATAGTCGTATAATTAGCTTACAGCAACAGATATTCTGATACATTGAAAAATTATACAACTATTACGCATAACATAATAATTACAAAATAATTTTACCGATTTCAGCATAGTTTTTAATATATATTATTTAATTTTCAATAAAACAAATAACAAAATGATAAACTAATAATAATTATATAATACTTATATTATCATTATTTAATCATACTTTTTAAGTACAATTAAATAAAATAATTTATTTGTTAAAATACAAAAAAATTATATATTGTATAACAACAAAATTTGATAAAAATAGTAAAATATTGATCGCGATCGTAAAATTATAATATAGGATTATATAAAGAATTGAAGTCACATGCGTATAATATAGAAGTGCATTCAAATATGAGATACAATTTTAAAAAAGATGTATTAAAGGATTTATAAGTACCTGTATTCACATACATTTTAAAAAAAGTATCTGCAAAATTTATTCCGTAGTTTTGCTAATATGAGTTTAACGCTGAAAAAGTAAAATTAATTAATAAAAGATATACTTGCCATCAATACTGACGCTACCTGACACATTTATGCATAATAAAGCTTTCAAGTGAAAAGTATTCTTTTTTCAAATACATGTCTCGTTCATAAAATATCAATCTAAAAGTGCCATTTGCCATAAACAAATACAAATGACGTGTAGTTCATATTTAGCTTATTTGTTTTCGTACATATATTATTCTTTTATCTTTTATAAAATTTTACTCTATACTATTACGAGAGTATAAATATTAAAACTAATTTCTTTTCCGGATAAATCGATTCTATATTTGGTAAAGAGAATAGGCGATTGAAAAGAATTAAAATATTTGTTATATATTAAATTGAAATATTAATGAATCTTTAAAAATCATTATCTTATCATATATCTAATCATATATTTTTAAAGATAATTAAATTTAAATAGTACGTTTTATTCAAACGTTTCAGTCCGAACACAATATTCCAAAGAAAAAAAATATAAATATTTCGATATGTAATATTTCATGGAACATCTATCCTCTACGATGATGTCTAAACTTGTACAATGTCGCTAATAAGAACTAATATTATTATATCAGCGTTCCTTTTATTATCGTCGTTGTATTGGATAACGCTAAACAAAACCGCAGCCACACACGATAGTTCCGCCTTGCGATCGAATAAATGATCTGTCATCTTTAACTTCGACATAAACTCTGCAAAGATACTCCATAGGAACGTTTAAACCGTCTATTTATACTTAGCGTTTCCTGTCAATTATATTCAGGCCATTTCACAACTTTGAACTCTCAGATGAGTATTCGTTTTCTGCTTCATTCAAAGGGATTCTAGTTTTCAATAATCTCCATTGCTTAACAAATACAGTTTGAGATAAACTATGTGGCGGGCGAAACACATTTTCGCAATTTTTCGAGAAATACTTTTGCGAAAGAAGTGGATTTCAAAAAGTAAAAAAATATTTGTCTATTTGACAGTAGCGTGATGTTAATATGAGTTATTAAATCATGTAGTATTTTTTGAAAATGATCAGTTAGTATATATCATTTTGTAGATCAAAAAGCAGGCTTAAAGGCCCCACATCTGAACATATAATATATAGATATGACACTTTTCATATTTTATTGTATTTATACAGTATATATATATATATATGTTTTATATGTTTATTTTTCTGTTTTCAAAATATCAAGTTAATTAACAAATTCAATGAAAAATATTAGAATTATTTGATAATTGAGCAATTTCACATCCGTTCATTAGAAAAAAAAACAATTCATCGTAGCATTATTGCTCCCATCGTTGTTCCCATAATCCATAATCAAATGTTTTTCACTCGTTTAACTATTTCTACAGTTGTCTGTTAAAAAAAAAAGAATTGCTATTACACTACAATCTTTCCTTTCTAAAGAGTATCATTTCAACAATGTTTGATATCTGATATTTTTACAAAGATCATCAATATTCCGAAAAAACTCTCCGAGAGCTCTCTGAAGCAGTAGACAACAGTAATGGATTCAGAACGTTCCATTTTACATATTTCATTACAAAGCACTTATTTAAGAAGAATGTATAAAAACCAAGTCGAGTACTGCGAGTCCGCACTGTCAGCCTTTTCAACAGCCTCTTCAGTCTGCTTCCCGGAGCCAAACCGTCATGTCACTGAACTGGACAAACGCACGGTCCATCAATAGAACATTGGCGACCAGCTTCCGCGCCGACATTCATCAATGGTGATCGGTATATATCCGGTTGTTGACGAAGCTGGCAGACACTGGAAGCAGTAATTGGCACCAGCGTTGTTATCCCAATGTTGTGCACCCTTGCATTGGAATCGGACTGCAAACTCGAGTCTCTGACCAACCGGTAACGTGTGACAATATAGGATAAAGGAAAATTTGTCGCTGAAGCCGTCACACGAGTTAGGCACATAGGTTGCCTGCAGGTCGCTGAAGTTCCGCCACGAGTTGAGGGTGTATCGCACATGTACAGATTTATGGAAATCGAGATTGATTACGCGCACTGTGCCCTGGATCGCGAGGGTCACCGGATCCTGTACCACCGCATTTTCCAAACAAACCCGACGCTCGCGCACCATATCGAGAAAGTTCGGCATACCGCCTGGCTGTTGAAAAAGCGGTACTAGCATTCGATCGATCTTTCTGGGTATCACTGACGTAGATCTGCGCCTGCCATCATTCTGATAACGGTCACACCAGTCATCGCTAATGGACGTCGTGTTATCCGAATTGCTGTCCTGCGGTCGAAAGATGTCATCGTAGATCAGGTCGCTATACGCGGAATTGGGTATCTTCGGTATCTCGTCCAGGAACGTTCTCACATCGGCCAAATCAAGACCAAGCTTGTCCGCGAATCTGACAATCTTCTTTCTATGCGGCGTGCCCGGTGGCGTTTTTCCTGTCTTCAGTGAGGAACACCTTCGGACTCGTTGTGGTCTATCTTCCTCTTCTTCCACCGTCTCGCTTTGGGTTTCTTGTTCCGGCGATGAATCCTCCTCCTTCGCGGTAGAACTGTTGCCAAGTTTCTTCAGTAACAGGCACAGCTTCTCTTCGTCGCTGTCGTTTAGCGCGATGTCTTTCTCGATTTTTAACTTCATCTCGTTCCTCGAGATCTCCTCAATCACTGTTGCATCGTTCGAACATTCCAACGTAAACTCATCAGAAATATCAATGGTACTACTATAAGATGAATGATCAGTGTCAGTATCACTGGCAACTTCTTCTACTTTTAACTGTGACGAGTTCTTTAACGAGATTGTTTCAGAATCCAATTTTTCCTTGTTCTTATCCTCAATTATGTTAATTAAATCTTCAGCACCATTAAAAGAATCATCTTTTGTTAGATCTCTATCATTCTCGATATCTTGCGTCGTAAAAAGACTACCATTTCTGACATTGCACGTCACATTCTGTGATATACCATTGATAACGTCAATTTCATCAATCTCATGCTCATCCATGTTCTCTTCCTCCTCCTCGTTCCGTCTATCGAGTTTGTTAAATACTACTGTGCCGATACCATTATTCGGTAATTCAGAGTCAGAATGTGATTTAGGCAAACAGATACGAGGAATAACAGAATCCTGAATAGTTCTGAGTGGACTCTCATCCTGTAGCGATACAGTACTGTCGTCGAACGTGCTCCATAAAGACTCATGGCTGGGCGATGTCGTCTCTTGAGAGCTTCTACCGTTCAGTGAGTCTTCCGAGCTGCAAATTAGTCCCTCTTGCCGATTTTCGCAAGACGTAGGATTTCTTCTCGAGGAGCAACTCGATTCAGATGTTGTGTCGTCGCAGCGTTCCAGATTCATATTCGCCCGCTTGCGTCCGTTCAATGCGAGCTTGCTCCTCGCGGGAACGGAAGTGTTAGAGAGATTCATGACCTCACTGTCTGAAGTACTAATAGGATCAAAATAGACTTCTGCTCTCGATTTGTCAGCATCGGAGGATTCTGGATCGAAAAACATCTCCGAGGAATCACTATCGGGTGGTGTACCAGTTATCGGGGATGCAAACACGCAGGACTCAGGATCTTGACGGACACTTGTGATAGCGGACGTCATTTTGGTTCCGCTAGGCGAGCAATGACAGGCGTCGTGATGATTCGCCTTCAGGATCTCCGGGTTGACCAACATATGCGCCAATTCGGCGGCAGTCGCTTCTTCGGGAGGTGATCCCGGTCCATCCACTTCCGCCTCTTCCACTTCAATGTCGTAAAAGAGATCCGATTCCGGACTATGACGCGGCTGATGTTGAAGGATGCTGGATGTTGGATGTTGATTATTGGCAATTACGTGCCGACTGCTCGATGACGGATGCAGCCAAGAGGTTTCGCACGGTTTGGCGGCATCCGCGGTTTGTTCAGGTGAACCATTCTCGTTACCCAATGATTTCAATCGTTGATGAAGACACCGGGCGAACGCCTCCGCACTACCTCGACAGTTACTAGGAAGAAGAGAGCTGACTAAACCACAGGAAGGACCACGAGCGTTGCCTGCTGAGTCCATGCTGCCCATTTTGAGGACAGTGGAGCTGGCTGTTTCTTCGGCGTGCCTGCCTTCCAAAGGCGAGGTCGAGTCGTTGTCTCGGCCTGCCGGCACGCTGGCTGAATTACCGTTCTGGAAAATAAAGCGATGGAGTTGAATCTGATTTGCGATTGCGAAAATTGGAAAATGAAACTATGAAAATGCTAGAGATTAGATATAGAATATATACATATATTACATTGGAGTGGAATTTTAAAAAAGTTCAAGATCTATAGGTATTCTTTCTTATTTATCTGCACGTTGTTAATTGTCGTCACGAAATGTAAAAATTTTTTATCGCAAACGATCTCTCGCGACACGATCGCATCAATCATCATATATTAAAAACGATAATTAATTTGTGTTTTTTTTTTCTCAAGAAGATAATAATCGAGATTATTAGTCAAATGTAATTGCACTAAACATATTTTTCCTATTATAATGTCTTGCCGAGAGTTGTAGCCTAGGATTTACGATCCTATAATTAATCATCTTTATTTTGTCGATCGCGAGTCGAGTTGGCAATACATAATTGAAGTTAGCTCGTTAATAGCTTGTTAACGGTGCAAGTAAAAATACAAAAGCAAAGGGAAACAAAAAGCTGACAAAAACACGCAGTACGTAGCTCGTCATTAATAGTAACGAGAGTCACAGTATTGGCTCATGGCCATAATATTGCGCGTATTGAAGCAGTGCTGCAGGAAATACAAATGATCGGTCATTACGATCCACACGCAGCATTTTATGCGCAAAGCCCATCTTCAATCGCAGCTTTTTTTATTTTTTATAAATACATATATCCAAAAATTTTTTAAATTATGAATTTATACAATTTTATATTCTCAACAAAAACAACACGATCGAAGATTTTAAGACGTTTGGATATTGACGTATAACTATTTATGAGACAAGAGGAAGATCAAACAGTCTTCTCCTACACATTCTTTGCTATCGTACACAAGTAAAGATTATTTTTGGCATTATGAAAGCTATAATTGGCCGTCGACAGTGACTGACAAAATGCAACATGATCGTTATTTGAATATGTAACGATATAATTCATGCTTTATCGTTGCCAGATTCATTCATAACCCGTTTATCTAAATGCATGTACGAGATAAGTACAGACGATCTTTCAAAACAAAAATTCACCGTTATATCGTGCAATGATAATTCTAAATTCACACACAAAAAAATCGCAAATATACGACGGAATCACGTAATAAAAGAATAATAATCGAATAACAATCGAGATCGCCGCATGATACTACTTGCAATAGGATCAAGAGTGCGCTTAGTTAGAAAATCGCAGCACACCACTGTGAGAAAATTGGAACGATATAAATACACGCTCAATTGGCCACGAATCAATTCCTCACCTCTAGAACGCACGCGCTAAGGTGACACTTCGCTCGCGCATGTACGAATCCTGCGCGAATTTGCCACGTCTCGTCGCAAATATGGATAAATATTCGGCAAGTATTCGGCAAACAAACGGTTTTATCGGTATTTATTTTATTCATCTCTAAGTTACGACACCGAACGCGATGATTTTAAATTTAAGCCCGCGTGAAAAAATAACTCGCTTTGATTTATGTAACTGGTGCTTTCGAAAGCGCGTATCTCACGTTCGTCGGATAAAATTTCTTCAATCAAACTATACGCTGATATAGAAAAATATCTTTCAATCTCTTAATAATTCACAATCATTAATAATAACTTCCTCAAGAAATAATAAGTTTGATATATCCGTCAATTGATATAAGATAATTCAGAAAATATAGCAAAACAATATCGTTTTATATGTTAGATGCGAACATCAAATTGATATCAAACCGGTTTTGCGAGCGTAACTCAGCGGGGAAAAGGCAACGTACGTAAAGAGGTTAAATTTGAAGCGATCCCGATGTGACAGACAGGTTTCTCCATTTTTCCATTTACACGCCTCGCTATGGCTACGCTTCAGACGCACACATGTTAAGGCGTACGTCGCTTCCAGTCGCGTCTGATAGCGTTTATTGGAGGTCTAGGCAGTCGCGGATAATAATCATTACATAAGACGGTTCTCGGCATGAGCTTTAAGGCTATTGGCCTCAGTAATGGTATGTGGCAACACACACAAAGGAGCTTATAATCTCACAGATATTTAAAGAAAAATTTAAGTTTTTTAAAAAATCACAGATTTTTTTATGTTATAGATTCCTTATACATTTCAAATAAATGTATTTCTTTCTCAATAGAAATATTTGTTACATACATTTGTTAGATACATCATAAATATATATATACAGCTACATTATAATATAGTGTAA